TTTTCAGGGAGATGTAATCGGCATATCACACACTGTTTTTTTGGTTTTTTTTTTTCATGAAGGTCGACTCTGCTTTTATTTATTGGTATTATTTTTATTTTACCGTTTTTCATCGAATATGAGGCCCGTGAATTGAGGCCCGTGAGCCTCTCATGTTAGACAGTTACTAAATGAGGTTGTTACCCTGAAATCAAAGCAGCTAAACTTAAGTCAGAAATATTATACCTGACGGTGTGCCTACACACGAAGTTAATTCTAAAGGACCTATTAGGAGAAGTGGGCTCAGAAAAGCTGTTGCCGAGACGGGCATCTTCTATCCTATTTTTTATATGGTTACTAGCATGAAAAAAAAAATTAGGTGTGACCATAAACTACAAATGGATGTAAAAGTTTTCATTTTTAAAATCAAAACAAGGGATCTAAGTTAGTAACAGTTTAAAAAAAAAAAAAAAAAAAATGAAAGCATGCTGTAACACAAACTTTTTCAACCATTGTCTTTTTAAGTTATTAAGTCATTATTAATAAGCAAATATAGAATTTAAATTGATTTATAAGAATCGATAAAAGACGCTTCGTCAAAATGAAATTGATTGTGAATTACATATATATGTTTCACTACTGTGTTATTCATTTATTTCTCACGGGATGGCATGAATGTTTAGTGTTTTGCTCGACCAAGCTAAATTTTATTAAATACTAATTAAAAAAAAGATGGCAGTAAGAATAGAATTTTGAATCTAAATATATTGTAAGGTGAATTCATTTCTTAGCTTGTGAAAGATAATATGAAAACCATGATGAAATATAAAACAAGAAAGAAAAGACTGTATATCGAAAAAGCACGATGGGTAATATAAGATGGATATGTAAAAGAATTTGAATGGTATTTATTTTTATAGAAGGACTTGGAATTTTGCATAAATGAGAAGTGAATGTTATTTTAAAAATATGCAAAATCTGTGTTACGTGGTTTTCGGGTTTATCATTCAACCACCCACTTTTATATCATGGAACAGGCCAGATTGGATCGAAAACATTTTCACTCAAAAATGTATGAGAAGTGGACTTTACCCTTCCAAATTGTAAATGGTTGAAAGAAAGAAAAGAGAAGAAAAATAAGGAATGCACAAAATTTAATTCTTACATAAATATCGAACTTAGTAATGTTTAATAGAAATTGAGATGAGAGAAGCAGAGAGAAAAGAAGAAGAAGAAGAAGAAGAAGAAGAAGAAAAAGAAGAAGAAAAAGAAGAATATATATTGGATATAAAAAAAGAGAAAAAGTAACAAAAAAGAGGAATAGAGAAGAATTCCCAGGAATAGAGAAAGACTAGCGAATGAAGAAGAAGAAAATGAAAAAGAGAAGAGAATGAAGAAGAAAAGGATACAGAGAGGGAGAGAAAGAAAGAATGATTTCCCACAAAAGAAGCGAGTGAGTCGTAAAGAGGGGAAAAGAAACGTTTGAACAAAGAGTAAAAGAGAGAGAGAGTGGAAATATAGTCCAAAATTTTCGATGATCCAAATATTTTCAAGAAACTTTTTTACTGATGAATGCAGGAAAAGGTCGATTAAATTACAAATACGAATTTGTTTAAATTGTAGTCAGATGAGAAAATTCATTGTATATGAAAATATATATATATAAAGTTCGAAGACAGAGAACTGATGCCCAGACGAAAATCCGCGGGTTTTAAATTTAGCGTTGCTCTTCACCCGTCTGTCCTGCAATTTACACCTAGTTGTAGGGAGAAAAGAGATAGATTCATACCTTTACCAAGGTTATTGGCAAGAAAATGAACGTAATAAACACGACTGGAAAACGAACTCGGCACTTTTATTCCGCAATCCGAACCGCAGCCATTACGTCACTGCACCTCCATACGCCAGTGGCCAGTCTACAAAGCTTCCAAAAACTGTGGTTGATTCTGCACAAACTGCACTTTTGGTTTTAAGAATTGAGCTGCTTGACCCTCATACGTCGATAACGATGGAGAGTCCAATATATATATATATATATATATATATATATATATATATATATATATATATAATATTTAACTCTGCTCTGTATTGAGCCCTTTTCTAAATTAAATGTTACGTACAGTGGAATTATAATCTATTTGTTCTCATTTTACCTGGCTACATATATATATATATATATATATATATATATATATATATATATATATATATATATATATATATATATAAACAGATTAATAGTACCACACCAGGAGAGAATCGATAGAATGAAGTTTAAAAGAGGGATCATATTCAATTCATAAAAAAGGATACATAATTATAGCAACGATTAAATTTCAGGCACCTTTCGACCGGCACATCTTCAGAAAAACTATCGTCAGTCAGTAAATAAGACGAGGTGATTGAAAAGAAAAATTATTTTCAACAGTTGATGTTAATTTTTGTGTGTATGTGTGTCACCTCCCCCTGTTTTGGTATTTTTTTAACATCAGTTGTTGAAAATAATTTTTCTTTTCAA